AGAGGATCAAATTCCAGACCAAGGAAGTCATTTTTGTAGGCACCCTGCAGTTTCCAGTATGGCAGCAATGAATTAAGTTTAAAATTGATTAAAATTATTTTTACCTGAATCTTGCAGCCAGGTAAACTTACAAGCCTATTTTTTTTTATCCTACTCCGAACGGAAATTATCTGAGGCAAAGAAATACCTGAAGTGCCCAAGCACCAAAACTAATGTATGAAACAGGATATCGCCAAATTGCTTTTGGGAGATCAGGCAGCAGTCGGAAGAATCCAGAAGTCATCATTAAGATTCCCTGCAGAGCAGAAATAACAAAAATTAAAACCATGGTGGCGAAGATGATGGACATAGAGGTAAGAAGCTGATCAAGAAGTTCTTACCATAATTCCAGCCCCGGTTACGATCCCCATCAAGTAATTGGGAACCAGTGAAGCCACAACCATCATTAGACTTTCTACAACAGCTATGCAAAAAAAGATATTAAGGCAGAAGAACGCATAATGTGAAAATCCTGTTCTGAATTTCACCATGAAGAATGTTATGGTCCCACTGATAAGGCCAATAGCAACCAAGAAAGGGAACGAAGAGAAGAAGTTGGATAGAATGTATACTGCAACTCCATAGTAGCCATTGAGTCTTTCTTTATAGAAAACCTGTTGAAGAAAGGAGAAATCAGGAATCAGAAACTAAAATCTAACATGACTGCGTTGCTTTGAATTGGATAAAGATTACCTTAATTTCTTCAATGAAGGATGGGAAGCCTCCAATAGACATGAATGACATAATTCCAGTTATAAAAGCACCGCAAGCTACCCGGGCAAGAATAGAGGTGTAGCTGTAGCCAACATCAAAGAATACAGTGGCAACACAGATGGATACAGCTATGTATGTCACTATCCTTGCCCAGTAATATCCCACATCTCTACTCATGTTCACAAATGATCGTTTTGTCAATGTTGAAAGCTGCTTCAACCATCTTGCTTCACTTTGGCTCCCTGTTTCCACATCTCCTTTCTGCAATACATAGATTTCCATGTCAGTATCTCTGGATAGCTCTAAGATAAGACATTCAAGTTTGACTTACAATGTTGGATAGTTCTTGAATCCTAGCTTTTGCCC